TAAGGGTCTCCAGATTTTCCCGCCAAAAAACTATCTCCAGGATTTTTCAGGGCGTATCCACCCATTTTTGGAGAGGGGGGTAGGCGGGGGGCTGGCTGATTGACCAGGTCCCTCACTCCCAGCAGGAGAGGAAGGCAGGCTGGTGGAAGGCAGGGTGGAATCAGCCTGTCTGTCACAGCTTGTAAACTGCCTTCCCCTCCTGCTGGGAGCGAGGGGGCTTGGCTAGAGCTATCCTCCCCCAGGGGCTGTACCTAAACTCACTGCTAGGGAACATAAACCCTAAATCTAAATTGGCAGGAAAATCTGGAACCACTTAAAATGGAGGTAGCCCCTGCAATTCCCAAGAAAAGATGCAACAGGGTGTCTCCTTGTGGACCATGGTGCAAAGTCCAAAACAACTCGTTGCATTATTTCTTGGAAACTGCTTGTGGTCGCTCCGGCCAAATTCACCAGCCAATAATGTACAACAGTGAGGCAGCAGCCCAGAGCAGACCCTTTCAACATACCTTGAAAATGCAATCAGCAGCTTTTATTGCAGAACGCGCAGCACACACAGTAGCAGTGTAATGTGATCGTCACGGTTCCGCGCGGGGTCGTGCCCCCCCGCCGCCCGTTCTGGCCCCCACACCTGGGGCGCGAACCCAGGTCTCCGGCGTAATGCAACAGGGCACCAACCTTGTGAGCTAAAGGAGACCTCCCCCAGCCCAGGCAGCTGAGGACCCTGCTATGCGCAGTGAGGGTGCTGAAGTGTCCTTCGCCGAGCCCAAGTTCAGCAGGGGAGGGTGTAGCGGAGCTCGTGTGTTGACGTCGGCGCCCTCACTGCACGTAGCAGGGTCCTCAGCTGCCTGGGCTGGGGGAGGTCTCCCTTAGCTCACCCGGTTGGTGCCCTGTGTGTTACACCGGAGACCCGGGTTCGCGCCCCAGGTGTGGGGACAGAACGGGCAGCAAGGAGCACGACCCCGCGCGGAACCGTGACGATCACAGCAGCAGCGAACAGGAAACATTCAGGCTAGGAACGTCAAGAGCCATGACTGAATCGGCACATTACAGATCAGGCCACTGGTGTCAAGAATGAAATTTAAGGAAAGGCACACATGGTCAAGAGTAACTTTCCGGCCCCAACGAGATGCTGGAGCGGAGCTGGAAAGGAGATCGTCGGAGCGCCGAGGATCTGGAGCCACAGAACTGAAGGCAGAAGCAAAAGGATCGGGTTACCAAAATAACTGATTTGCAGAATCGATTCATTTGACGTTATGTCAAGTCTATTAACTTTTTAAGTAAGTTGCCTGAATGACACAATATGCAAACACGCTTGAATGGCCAGCAGCCATGTCACCCTGCAGCTCTCAACTGGTAACCCACTGAAGCCCAGCAGGTGTGAGCCTGGTCAGTACCTGGAGGGGAGACCTCCTGGGAAGCTATGGCTGCTGCTGGAAGAGGTGTTAGTGGGACCAGCAGGGGGTGCCCACTCTGCGGTCTGTCTGGGTCCTAAAGCCCTGGCATGGCAGTGGGGAAACTATACTGTAGTGGCCGCCATCTTTTGGATGAGATGTGAAACCGAGGTCGTTCCAATGCGAGCTGGTACCAGGGAGTAGTGATGGGGCCTGAATTTGCAATGGCACCGCAAGATTTGGTCTTTTCTGTTTAGGGCAGCAGACAGAAGGAGTCTTTCCTAAATTCAAGCCACGCTGGGTTGTCCAAGACCTCATTATCTTCATTAGTTCCTCTCTTCCTGGCACTCTCCATTTTTTATCTGGAATTTCATCCCTATCTGCTCAGTAAGAACACTATCCACAGTATATACCTTGCTCTCAGTTTTTGTTAATGAAAATGTCACTAATAGTTCTAATAATATCAAACACTATACAAGTAATAACGCTGTGAAATGTTTCTTCTGCACTCCTTTGCTTTCGATACTTTATTCCATGTAGGGTCTATAAAAGAGAAAAATAACTTACTATGTATTACTAATAAAAATATAGAATACTTTCCACATTATTAGTGTTTTACTTTGTCTCTAGACTTACCACGCGACTCATATATGGTACTATCTGCAGTCTCAGCACCAGTATTCACAATTTCAGCTTCTCAAAGATGTCTGTCAGACGGACATTCCAGGTCTGTGTGTGACCTGGTTAATTTTTAAATATTAACTTTTCATAATGAATTGAAATTGATTACATGTTTTAGGAATGTTGAGACACATCCAAGTCATAGCTTATATTGCCTCTCTTGAGACCCGATGACCATTGTAATGGACAACAGTTTTTTTTTAATCCAGCATAACATCTTAGTTTATTTTGCAAGTAATGCCTGAATAGATACATATAAATATTAAATATCATTTTTATTGCATTATATTATGGCCTCACTGTTAATAATTAAATATAAAAAGATTCCTTGCTCGGGACCAAAGGCGACTGACCTGACATGCTGCTGATAAATGTGAAATATTACTCTCAAAACTTCACGGACCTGCGATTGCTCGATGCTGATTGGTGTGTTAGACCGATTTATCAACCAATTAGAAGGCAGTGGTGCAATGTGCAGTAAAATGAGGAAAAAATACTTTTTAACATGTGATGTCCATTAACTGGACTCCAGGTCTGAATGTTTAAGGTAATGTTACGAAATGCGCTGCACTCACTCGTGATTTCAGCGCTGGTTCAAAGGTACATACTGTAAACGTCAGAGTATGACGTCAGCGGTTTACAAACGAGCTATTTCTAGCACCAAATTGTCTCTAAACCATTAAGCTGTTATTGAAATGTTAACACATTTGAAAACTTCTGAATGCACGAATAAAAGGGAACCAAGGTAGTAGTAAAATGATTTAGTTTGTAATCCTAGGTGAAGGTAACTCGCCTCAGTTTGGTGCCTTACCCTTTCAATTTGCTGTTTACCAGCTTATCCGTCTTCGGGGGAGAACAGTGTCATAGGCACAAACGTTATGAATTTGTTGTTGTTTTTTTATTCTTAGCCTAGGCTGTAAGCGACGGAATTAATAGTAATATCACATGAGGAAACTAGACATGAACTCAGAATTGCAAATGCCTCGCTGATCGATACGGGAAAATAAGATCTTTTTGTACATGTACATATATACTAAATATACAGTATGCAACACTTAAACCGAGACCGGTTAACATATATAGTAACCGGGATAAGGTTGTTATTCTACGTTTTCAGGTACTAATCTCCTCCCTACCTCACCTCCGCAAAACAAACAAAAAAAAAGATCTGTAGAACCACTACGGTCCGTATTATTTGTATTGTTTCTTAAACCGAGCTGCTGTATTTGTTGATTTTATAGTACATTCATTTGGCAAAACCTTTACAATGCAGCAATAAAGATTGCTTTCACCGGCCTCGCCTGACTCCAGTGCTGGGATGAGAGTCCTCTCGTTCTGTTAACGAAGTGCAGAGTTCAAGGCTTATTCACGGGTTTAGCAGTAAACAGTGTCGACAGTAATTCTCAGACTGATGCTGCATAAACTTTCTCAAAACACCTAAACTGTTGGGAACAGGGTGGCACCCATAAAACGTCCTGGAAGAGCACTATGGCTGTGGTAAGTGAGAGTATTTCTCAACAGGTCAGTCCCATTGTCTCAATATGATGTGAATTCACCCAAAATGAGCTCATGTGCAATGACAATTAGCAAAAGCCTCAACAGCAGTATGTTTTTTTGCATTTTCGTAATTGTGAATGACGAATTATTACGTTGAATGACATTGATGTACCTTGCTACGAAATGCCGCTGCTTTGTGAAATAGAATGGATTAGTAAAGTTGGATTGTACGAGTTAATGATCTCAATGTATAATTAAATAATCAAAGAAAATTAATTGCGAAGTAATTAAAGTACCCTTTTCTTTAATTCTAAAGAGTAAAACGATATCCCATTGTCAGCTACAATACAAAGGCTCCATGTACTGTATTAGTCTTAATTGAAAATATATACCTGTTCTTGTTTTGGTTCAGTGGAATGAATGGTGTTTATGCTGATTTGATTTACACTGAAGAGCTTTGGTTAAACAGCGGCTAGAAAGTTAACGACGATTATGGCCTTCAGAGCAACGTACTAACAAAGAAGGTGTGAAACATTAAAGTAATACAAATTTCCGCACCAAACCTAAAATAGCAAACACGTCGCTTGAGTAGTACTGTGAATCTTTTCATATTTTAATTGTGCCGTGTTAATCATTCCACTAGAGATTTTATTTTGTGTTTGAACCCAAAGTGATTTGAGCAGCAACCAGCTGTTGGCGAGTCCGAGCAACAGTACTTTCACCCAACCGTTTTTATCATCGGTTCTGAGATATTATATTGATATTTCATGACACGCAAAGCTAAATATATATATAAGGTCAGTTTTGTTTTGTCTGAATTGTTAATCAGGGAGTAAAATGACCGAATTTACATTTATTTATGTAAAGCTGAAATCGAGTCTTGTATCATTTTGGGGGGAAAAAGATGAAATCAGGAAGACGTTTAATGTCTTAGGGAACCAAACAGGCTGTGTTCTAAACTTATTTTTTCAGATTTCCAAATAATTTTAAACAGTATGTGAAGCATAGCTATCAAATTCTGGCGGATGCCTTGTTTTTCTTCTTGTTGTTACTTTAGAATAGCGCCCCAACAACTACCAGGTAGTTTCTGACGTTATTTCTTGTCGTTGTCCCTGTTGTCACTGGTACCCCAAGAGACTGTGTAGCGAACGGGGGTCATCCCCGGCCTTCCTAAGCGATGCGCTTTCCCTGCCTGCCGGCTCACAACTGCAGCTCAGCTCCAGCGCTAGTACTAACAATTTCCGGCAGCCTCTGCGTTTTTGAAAGCTTAGAACCGGTGCCCCCATTCATGAGTGAAAACGAGAATAATAGCCATCATTAAATATGCAGCAGGAGGCATCAGGGCGTTACAACAGCGGACAGGCGTGGGTTCGGAGGCATCGGTAGTGTCGAGCTGTTTTGTTTTCGTCGTGCTGTGTGTTTTAGTTATTCTGCTGGGCCCAGGCTTTCTCTGCCGGGAACCTCTTCACTGGCCGCACTGCTGGGGAACATGGAAAAAGTCGACTGTGGAAAAACTCTCAGAAATAAACTGAGGTTCTGGTCTTTAAGTGAGTGACAGAGTGACAGTGGAACAAAGGTAAGACGCTGGCAGGTGTGTAGGCCTTTACTATAAATATTAGAATGACACTTGATGCCGTTGAGTCCATATGGTCCTGTTTCTGGGTTAAGCCTGTACTAGTCAGACCTTGTCTTTGTAATGCATCCAACCAGGAAAGGTTAAATAGTTTTATCGGGTTTATTATCAAATAATTGCTTTGTCCCGTTTAGGAATGTGTGAATCCCTGAATTCAACATGTTCTTAGTTGCAGCTTGGTATCTGTGTTAATTGTGTGCTGTGTTTTAAATAACGCCCAAGGAAGCTACTGTATGTACAGTTTAGCTCTTCCTATACATTAAGATTGCTAGAAACACTTCGCAAACATCACATTCCTTCTGACGTATGTGAAGTGATTGATAGTGCTTTTATTTTATTTCGAAAAAAATGTCCATAGTTTGTAGTATTTTATACTGATTATTTTAAGGGCACTAGTCCAGTAGAACTTTAAAAAGAATTAAGTGATCGAGGTATTCTGACAATTGGTTATTCTTTTATTATTTGGATTAAGAGTTGGCGCCACCTGCTGTCAAGCACGTGTTCTGCCTTAAGAGATTTTCAAGCCTGCAGTGTATCCAGCTATACACTAGTACCATATGCTTTCTGGGATGCAAGCAGAATGGCTTTGGTTACTGTGATAAGCAGAAGATTCTCAGCTGAGCACATACTGTAATTTGTTCAACAGAGTACTAACCTTGCAATAGACTGTATCTGGAATACTAATCAGGACTTATTGTTTTGGAATAAAAACATTTTCTCAAATTAAATCCTAGACATCAGCAGCAAATTCAGTTTTCTTTCCATGGGAGTGCTCGGTTATTTAATTGCATCCATTAATCTTTATTCTTGAATCTATTGAATCTAATATTTTCCCTATTACCTTGGCTCTTAGAAGTCTCTATAAATACCTATGGAATCTGTGAGCCTGTATTTCAAAGGCTACCAATGGTAATGTTGTAGATTGTCTTCCTGGTTGGTTTTTGTCTTTTAATGTTAGGATATTTATTTGTCATTGTTAATTTATTCAAGTGCTTTTTTCGGCTTACTGTTGTACTCGCACACACACACAGGATGAGAAGCCAGTCCATCACAGGGCAGACACACACACACACACACACACACACACACACACACACACACACACCAGGGCCAATAGTCCCAGAAGCCCCAACTTTTTATATTGTGGGAGGAAATCGCAGCACCTGGAGGAAACCCATGCAGATACGGGAAGAACATACAAACTCCACACAGATAGCTCCCCAAGTCCAAAAAAGAACCCTGGGCTCCAGTGCTACAGGGCCACCTTTTTTTTACTCATTTATTTAAATAAACATACAAGCAATTGGTTTGACATACAGTACTTTGCTCTAGAGTTCAACTGCACTGCTACAGTACATCCAGGATTTGAAGCCACAACCTTTCAGTTCCATGTCTAGAGCCCTAACCACATCTCTACACTGTAAATGTAATTTTCACAGCTTGTGCCTCTTGTTTCCACTTCCCAGACTCAACCAGGGCCTGCTTTGCACTTGTGTTAACCTAAGATCACTTTATTAGCCATATACAATTTCTTGCATTGGGAATTCATCTTTTTTACATACCCCAGCTTGCTCTCCAGGAGACACAGACACACAGGCAGGGAGAGAAGCTTGGGGTTAGGGTTAGGGTTAGGGTTAGGTCAGCCATTGTACAGCACCCCTGGAGCAGTTGGGGTTAAAGGCCTTGCTCAGGGGCCCAACAGAGTCAGATTCCTCTGCCAGCCGCGGGATTTGAACCAGCAACCTTCCAGCCACAGGTGCAGATCCTTAGCCACAGTGCCACCTCTCTGCCCCACATGTGGGTCAGGTGAGGTCCCAGGACAGATCTGTACTACAGCAGTGAGTGTACTGAGGGAAAAGACTTAGACAAACATCAGGCAGTTTAAAAGTCTGCATTTACTAGTCAAGAATGTGCGGGTAGAACAGTAACAACCTTTGCAATGAAAACTGCTACTGATCATTTCTTGTAAGTTGACAATTTTACATGAAGATGCAAGATGAAAGTACTGCGCTTTTATTCAAGTCAGACTTATGACTGTTTAGATGTAACACCCTGAGGAACAGAGAGGGAGGACAGCCATAAGCTGAAGTCACATCAGTGTAACTAAATTTAGTCTTTATTAACTACTTGTAGGCTTTCCATTTTTCGACTGTACTTCAGAAGCGAGTATTCCTTTTGTAGAATGCAGTGGTCTCTCAGCAACGCGTTAGGTACTTTCCTCAGCAACAATATCAGTAACTTAAGAGACCTCCCGTTTTATAACTGGTCTAGGGGAAAATGAGCCGACCAGTCTGTTTTGCAGCGTCTAAACTGAAGGATAAGGCAAACCATAATTAAAATCATTTTAATTTTTAAGATCGGTTTTGAGATCGGGTCGATGTAATCAGCTGCAGGTCCCCAGAAACAAACTGCACTATGAGAGACTGTGCTTCTCCTTCTCTGCTTTTCACTTGTGGAGCAGCTGCCCTGATCATCTCAGACAAGCAGTTTCGCCTGAGACTTTTAAATGATCTTGAGCCCCTTTTCTACCAGGAAGCCCATAAACTCCCAGTACTAGAAACTAATTTCCTGTCTTCTTCCTTCTTAGGTATTGTTAAGTTCCTTGATTTGTCCTTAAGCCTTTTGTTTTATATGAAGCAGATTGAGATTCTCTATAATGACAAGTATTATATGTACTAAATGTATTATTATTAGTAGTATTAATTTTGTACTGTGGGGCAGTCTTTTTAATTTCTGAGAAAACAAATTTAATTATTCTTTATTTAGTGACAAATGACAGGACCTGAAAACAGTCAAACAAATCTATATGCATTTTTTCTGACGTTTTATTTTACTAACAGGGATTCAGTGATAATTAGATGAAGGTGAATTGGATGTTCATATTGATCTCTGTGTTTATGTCATGTACATCTTATTCATTTACTATAGAGTTACAGGGCACCTTATCCATGAGGAAGAAATATATATCTCCACCTGCGCAGCTGTCCCTTGGTCACTCTTCACTCTGCATGGGGGTCCTAGACTCCTCACCCTGCGGCCAGGATGTCTAAAATACTACATAAACTTTTCAATCCGCTTAGTTCTTGGGTGCTGTTGTTCCTAGAGGAAATGTCTCTGAGGTACTGAGAGAAAAGATGCCACAGCTACAACTTCCTTCTCACTTTTTATAACTTGGCATCATTTACTAAGTACGGTATAGCTGCATAGAAGTGAGAGAGGTACAGTAGCATCCAGCTGTTTGAAAGTAAATAAGAAAAGGAGACAAGGTTATTGATGTATGACTAGATCTTCTCTGCTTCTCTGAAAAATGCTAATCAGGAAACATGGGCGTATAATGGAGATGAGGCCAGTCAGTTTTGTACTGAGA